AGAAGACTCCGAGACGACCCCAGCAGTAACCAGGATAACGAGAAACCTAGCAGAAGACCCCGAGACGACCCCAGCAGTAACCAAGACAACGAGTTACCTAGAAAAAGATCCCGAGACGACTACGGCCAAAACTGATGGATAACGACGGCACTGGAGGCGTGCTTACCCAACGTCCCTTTGGGGAAAAACTCAAGGTTGGCCAACGCACACTCCACCCCTGCGGATACGAAAGACCACACCAACAACATTGCAGTACATCGATAACCATGTATCGTTACATTAAATTCCATTAGCTACACCGCACTCATAGGGTATCAGGGTACTTAAGTAAAGGTAAAGGAAGTAAAGGTAAGTTGACAAACTTAATGACAGTGAGCTTGCTGAAGATTTGACACAGACATACAAATTAAGAAAGAATGTGTTGCTTCGCAAAATTCAAAGAAATAATAGAACGCGCTGTTTGCCGGTCATACCACGTGCATTTAGATGGTCAGTAATAAATCAAGTGCATGAATCAATTATGCACTTAGGTTAGAAGAAAACGCTTGATAAAGTTTATCAATATTATTGGTTTGAAAAGATGAACAAGTACGTGCGAAAATTTGTCGGGAAAAGTTCAGGCAGAGCTTAATCCCATTCCAAAAGTGAATATACCTTGGCATACAAATTAAGCGGTAAAAGTGACCTTAAAGAATATGTCTTTGTACGCTTTCACAAACTCCGTTTACTTGTTTCATACTCTCAAACTGAATACCGAGAGCTGTGTGACGGCTATGAAATCATCCAATTCTTTGTTTGGGGTTCCGACCCGAATCATTGCCGATCAGGGTATATTTTTCACTAGTGCAAAGTTTGCTAAGTTCTGTTCTTCACAAAATATTAAGCTTCATCTAATTGCTACGGGAGCTAGCCGTGCTAACACTCAGGTTGAGCGTGTGATGAGCATTCTGAAAAATCTGTTGTTGCTGTTGTCTGCTGTTGAATCAAGCCAACGGTCTTGGCAGGATGCCCTGGGAGAAACACAGTTTGCCCTCAACTGCACAGTCAACCGTGCAACTAGTCCCTTAGAGCTTCTGATCGGCAAATAGCCTCGTCCAATGGGTTTAATTTCTCCATGTGATACAGAGGAATAGATTGACTTACAGGTTTTGAGAGACGAGGTATCATAAAAAATATGCAAGATTAAGCTGTTTATAACAAGTCTAGGTTTGACAAGAGTAAAGCTGCTGTAGTTAAACACAAGGTGGGTGACTATGTTTTACTCAAAAGCGAAGAAAGGCATCAGACAAAGGTAGATGCAAAGTTTAGAGGTCCATTTATTATATTAGAGACTCTTGATGGGGATCGGTATGTGTTGAAATCTTTGCATAACAATCGAACGTACATGTATTGCCATGATGCACGAAAAATGCCAGAGGGTCGCATACCGAATGAATTAGATATCACTGGAGTAGAGATAAATTTGTCCAGTTGGGACTAAGTGTGAGTCGCTTAAAAAGGGTGATGAGTATTCCGTCCAGTAAGTATGAAGAGTCCAGGTGAGACTTATCGTATTCCATCCAGTAAGGATGAAGAGTCCAGGTGAGACCTATCGTATTCCGTCCAGTAGGGATGAAGAGTCCAGGTGAGACTTAACGTATTCCGTCCAGTAGGGATGAAGAGTCCAGGTGAGACTTAACGTATTCCGTCCAGTAGGGATGAAGAGTCCAGGTGAGACTGAATAAGTAAACGAATCAGCTGGGTCAGCTATGAGGATTGCATACTGATTGGGTATACAGCTGACGATTCAAAGGTGGTATTTGAAAGCTATCGAGTTTGAGTTATTTTATATTTCTCTGGAATCGTAACTTATACGAAACGAATATTGAAAAAGTCGGTGTGACTATATTAAAATGAATTTTGTAATTTTCTTTAGTGAAAAATAACAGGAAGAATGTTAAGCAAAAACTGATTTCAAATCTAAATGTAAACATATTCTCATAGAAAAATACCCTTCGTTTAATAAAAGCCCAAACTGTATTACTTTATGTCAATGTTATTTATTGGACACTGGGAGACGACTACACGAGGACGTGTTATTGTCAGAATGGCCGCGTCGGATCATAATAATATTGCCAGTGTATTTTGGTCTGTCGGGTGCATACGAATCCCCTTTTTGATTGTTCTCAGTGTATTACTGTATCACTGTTTCCTTTGTATTTCGCTCTTTTTCGTAAGTTTTATCTCCTTGGCAGAGTTGCAGTTGTTTCTATGTCGGTCAGGTGTTCATTAGCGAGTGTATTCTGAAAAACTCGATCGGAGAGGATAAAGGGAGCTAGAGAAAGGGACGCACGCGGCGAGTGTTCCTCTGCGGTGGTGAGTGTAAGGTATGCAGATATAGAGACAAAGGGAAATTGCGTAACGAGTAATAATTGTCTCGGAGCTCTGTTTTACAATACCAAAAAAGTAGTTGCGTTAGAGAGTTTGCCCACACCACGAGCCAAGCGGAGTAATTCTCTATTGACGTATAACCCTAGTTAAAATGGCAGATCCAACCCAGGAAAATATTAATCCAAAATGTATGTATTTTTTTTACACTCTTTATGCAAACTGTCACTGTCACTTTTATTTGTTGCCTTTTTAATTTATTGTTTACGTCCACCCGGGGGCGCCATGAAAATAGGATAGTTTTTCTAAATGCGAAAGACCGAAATACTTGGGTGGCGTAAAGTTTAATTAAAAATGCGGGACGAGAGAAGTTATCGGTGCGCTCGATCGAATTCAATTTTAACGATTATATTCTAAATTCATTACAATTCGTTCTATGCCTAGCTAACCTACGGTGGCAAAGCGGGGCGAATTCGCCTTGAGCGAAAGAGCAAGCTTTTATTGCGCCCTCGCTTTGCCGTAACCTACTTACACTAGACTTCAAAGAATTCAAAAATAATCGTAACATAAAACATTGACTAAGACGATGACATGGCGAAACAGCGGGTACGTTGTTAGAAGGATGCCGTACGGCTCATTCAGAGTTCAAATTGCCATTAAATCTTCAAACTACTGAACAATCGACAACATTGTAACATTGCAAAGTACTCTGCAACGGCAAAAGTTTTAGTAGCGTCAAAAGTCATCATCTGGGAAAAGTGCACAAAGGCGCAAAAACGCGCACAAACGCGCATTGGAAGCTTTAAAAGATCTGCGCATAGACTCGAAAATTTTTGGTGGCGCAATGATTTTACTATCTGGCGGTTTTCGTCAAACACTGCCAGTCATTCCAAGATCGACTGCTGCCTATGAAATAAAAGCTTTCCTCAAATCTTCAAATCTGTGGTTCTATGTAAAGAAACATCAACTGGTAGCAAACATGAGAGTTGCATTGTTGAACGACACATCTGCTGAAGATTTCTGCAAGCACTTGCTGACCGTGGCCGTGTTCCTGTCGACAAATCGAGCAGATTGATTTCATTTCTTTCAAATTTTTGTAATTTCGTCTCGTCAAAAGACGAGCTTATTAGCATAGTATTCCCAAACATCATTGCTAACCACAATAATAACAAATGCACTATAGGCAAAAAGTCCCATATTTTGGCATTTTTACATTTTTTTTTTTTGTTCCGTATTATCAAATTGACCGTATTTTCTGAATTAGAATACTTTAAGAATACTAAAACATATTTTTAATATTTTTTGGACTTCGTTGGTATTTTGTTATTTGTCAAAATTGAAAGACTATTATATGGCCACTCAAAAAAACAAAATTGGCGCAAAAGCTTGTGATTTTTGGTGTGAATTTTCTTATGAAATTGTAAACAAAACAAAAAAGTTTAAACATGGAATTTAATCGTCAAAGTATGTAAAATAAACTATTAGCACTAACAGTTTAGTACATGTAATATATTGTCCAAGTGTTTAATGTGTTGTTGGTGTGTTTTTATGTCCCTACTAACAAATGTATTTGTGTTTCTGTGGAGTGTAACTTGTGCATGGAGGACACTTGAGGTAATTCTAATGCTGAATGTTACTAATTAAACTGTTAACAATCAAATAGTGGATAACATTTTTGCCCGTTTTTGCCCGATTTACGGCAATACTCAGATGCATTTACTTGCTTGATGTTTGGAGCGACAACAACCGCCAACAAGATGCTGTGAAGCAGTTTGTTTTGCAAAATATTGATGAAACTAAATTAAGTGATGTTCAGCAAATCTTAATAAGAGATAAACTTATGCAGTTTTTCGGATTTATAAACACTTATTTGCCAAAATGCAACAGAATGCTCGACCGCTTTAAAGAAAAGCATGCGAAATGGCTTGCATCCTCGTTCAAAATTGAATTTCATAAGGATGATACTCCACGCGAAAAGCCTGGTCGCAAACGTTTGACCTATTCTGAGGCAGGACCAAGGTTAAAGCGAAAATTAGCATCTGAACTGGTCAATGAAACCGAAAATTCAATGCCACTGTTGTTGCATGCTGCTTCTGTATCGGCAAAAAAATTGAAAAAGGATAGCACTTCTCCTTTACTGCAAAAAGCATTGAATAGCGAAAAAATAGCTGGCATAGCGAACCATAATGAGATCACCAAAATAAGTCCTGAAAAGGCTTTAGCATTTTTAATAGAAAATAATCTAACAAAACAACAATACATTAATATAAAAGCCATAAATAAGCTTCATGGATGCGATATTTATCCGCCGTATTCAGAAATTACAAAGATGAAATTAAAATGCAGACCAGAACAAGACAAAATAACTTATTCTGGAGGAAGAGTTTTGGGATGAATAAATTATTAACTCGGTATCAAGGTATGGCGTCACAAAAAAACGGACTTTTTGCCCATAGTGAAATGGTTAAGCAAGCGTACAATTTTGCGGGTGGGCTGATTTCGATTCCACTTAAATAATCATATTGAAATTTAAACTATCTGTGTTTTATTATCACTCAGAAGTTTATCTGACGGTGTTAAATTGGGGAGAAACAAAGCTCGCCGGGTCAGCTGTATGTACATATAATAGAATATAGAATATAAAGTTTTTATTAAATATATTCCCCAAGATACGTTATTTTTATTCATTCCGAAGCAGACATAAAACCAATAATGTTTTCAGCAAATGTTTCACTGACCCAAATAAATTCGAGAAATCTTGCTTCAAGAACTCCAATGACAACTCCAGCGAAAATGTCCAATATGTAGTGCCGCTGTAGAATCAGTCGTGATAGAGCGACGCAAACAGCCCATGTCGTAAGGGGTATTAACAAAAAAAAGGGCAGAGAATACAATTTTGTAAAAAATATAAGTACATAAAATGCTCTAGATGAGTGGCCTGATGGAAAACTAAATTTATCGGGTCCTATTACCCACGTATCTTTGATTGATACCGGTCTTCTTCGGCGCACAAATGACTTTAACACGGCTACGACGACAATATCAAGAATAAGTCCCATAAGCATATTTACTTGCATTTGAAGCAATGCTTTTGAATTGATTATCCATATGAAAGCCATCCAAGAAAATAACCAGGCAATACCATCACAGGATATTTCTAGAAATTTACAGTTTATCTTTAAAGACTTAAAGAACGTATAATTATATAGAATTGATACGCAATAAGTCGACCATTGCACATCTTTCTCCAGCAAGTATTTCAGTATTGCTGATGACTGAAATTTGAAAAAAGTATTGTCAATATCATTCACAACGTACAATAAATTATAATTCACACAAACCGTCTTCATTCTATAAATTGGACATATGTTTATAAATGGTTAAATGCCAATTTTATGTTAGAGATAACAAGCAGTGTGACCCAACTATGTGAGCTGACAAAAAATCATATTTAGGGGACTCGACTCAAATTGATGTTTTTCCCACAAACTAAATAAATTAAAGAAAAGGAAAAGAGGATTGGGTATAATTACTAATAGTAGTATGACAAGATAGCCTTTCACACTGGCGACCATCCACCATAAATTTCTGGGATGGTCCGTAAGGTTTTGCCGTTCCGAAAATTTCCCAGTTATTCCACCATCCATCTGGGATGTTCCTAATACTCTCTGCACACTGAGTCCATCCTGGGGGAACGGTGGGAATTTTTGAAAGATGTGAAACACCGATTCACATTGACACCATCCACCATCCATGAGAAACAGCTGTTGCTCACAATTGCGTGAGGTGAAAATTTATTTACTTTAATTAAAATGAAAATAAATAACATTTCAATGGTCGTGAATGTGATTCAGCAGCAAAACATATTCTTGCACAAGCTAATCATGTTGTTGGACATGGACGATGATGATGAGGATAACTTTGACGAGGAGGAGATAATAGAATGGATATCTGCTTTGAAAACACTGAAGCCCGGAAGGTTGTGGTCATTTGTGAGTGCTTCTAATAAATTCAACCAATGTTTAAAGTACAAATATATATGTTATGTTTTTCAGAAGCGGTTCGGTACATTTTGGGAGAGGGATGTACCCGAAAACAACGAGGCGTTTTTTAAGGAAAGTTTTAGGATGGAGAGATCCTGCTTTTCTCTGTTGGTTACTCGCTTGGAAGTGCTACGGAAGAAGGACACAAACTGCCGAGCTGCAATTCCTCTGGAGAAGCGTATCGCCATATCTTTATATACTTTGGGATCTTCTTCTGAAAAGAGTGTTTTTCGGAGTGTCAGCCAACAGCGTCTGCAATATCCTGCATGAGTTTTGCAGAGCATTCATCAACGAATTCTCAGAGAAAATTGACGAGTGTGTCCAAGCATTTGAAGAAATTGGGTTTCCTCAGTGCCTGGTGCAATTGGTAATAATGCAATAAAATCATCCATAATATATGTATATACATATATGTAAATTAATTTCATCACTTAATTTTTATGTTAGATGGATGTCACATCGAAATAAAACCACCTGCAGCTGATATTTGATATTTTTTTATTTTTTGCGTGCTTTGTGAGATCTGATGGGGTTATTTTGTTTTATTTTTATATTTTCCTGTCTGTCATTGTTTACATTTTCGTAGTGATCTCCGATTTTTTGTTGTGAAATATGGTTGCATTTGACAATTATCGAAAAAATACCGCACTGAAACATGAGAATTAGGAACATCCCAGATGGATGGTGGAATAACTGGGAAATTTTCGGAACGGCAAAACTTTACGGGCCATCCCAGAAATGGATGGTGGATGGTCCCCAGTGTGAAAAGGCTATAATTCGCACGTTTCTGCGGTATTTTTTCGATAATTGTCAAATGCAACCATAAATATTTGACATTCACTAAGAAAAAATCGGAATTCACTACGAAAATGTAAACAATGAGAGACAGGAAGATGGTAAAAAACAACAACTGGCATACAACTCGATTTGTGGGAATTTGTTTATGAATTCTCTGCAAAAGTCATGCAGGATATTGCACTCGCTTTTGGCTGAATGCCTTCCGATTATACTGTACTCAGAAAAAGAGCCCAAACTATACAATGCTATGGCTATAGATAACTCTCCTTAGAAAACGCCTCGCTGATTTCGGGTACATCTTTCTCCTAAAATGTCCCAAACCGCTTCTCAGAAAATATAGAAAATGTATTTTTATTTAAAACATTGATTGGATTTAGTAGAAGCAGTCTGAAATGACCACTCTTCAGTATTTTCAAAACAGAAATCTATTCTGATAAATTCTCCTCGTCAATGCTAGCCTCATTTTCATCATCATACATGTTCAGCAACAAGATTAGCTTGTGCAAGAATATTTTATGGTGCTGAATCACATTCACAACCACTGCAATGTTATTTATATATATTTAAATTATAAATGTGAACAAATTTTCACCGCACGCAATTGTATGCATCAGCTGTTTCTCATGAATGGTAAATGGTAGTCGATGGTGGATGGAGTCAGTGTGAATCGGTGCTTCACATCTTTCAAATTACCCATCGTTCCTTCGGGATGGGCTCAGTGTGCAGAGGGCATAAGTCTAATTCTAAACTGTTTTCCTTATATTCCGCAGTTGTTATTATATTTATACATATGTATATAACAGAACTTTTTTTTCCGGTCTCGTGGGATATCACTCTGTCACAAGTGTATTCCAAAAATTTTTCCCCGCCCACTTTCGCCAACATAAAGAACGAAAATCTGTGATATCATCAATTTTATAGTTAAGGAAAAAGCGAAAACGTAGAACAGTAAAAATGAACATATTTACAAGGTTGCTCAATCTAGATCAGGTGAAATTATTATTTTAGCAAGAATGAACAAATTAATTTGCCATGGCTAACCTACCCCTTGCACGCGCTACCTCACTATCATTTTTAGAAACATAACAGCATTGGAGTCAGAAGACAGAGAAAGAGGCACCCTCTTCGGTATAATCTATACCATAAATTTGTAGTCTTCCTCATTACTTTAAATACAATTTAGGAAACCATTAAAAATAAGCAAAAAAAAACTCATCATTAATAATTAACATAAAAATAAATGTAAAAAAATATAATAAATTTAACACAAAACAAAATGTTTATGAATAAGTATTCGATTTAAGTACATAACTCTTGTATTAAAGTAGATAAAATCCAAAATGAACTATATATACTCTTCGAGTGACTAGCGCAATAAAAATAAGTTTATACTTATAGCGTTGGCACAAAGCATAAAATAAATAGGATAATATTTGGTACATAAATGTGTGTTTGAACGCCTACTTAATTTCATTTTGTGTCATTCTGTAGAACAGAACCTTTAATAATAGACTTTTTTTATACCTTTTTGTATCAAATATTTTTTTTTGAACAAAAAAAATTGTTTGTAGGTATATTTGTGGCTGTTGATTATCATTGTTTAATTTCGATGAATTCCTAAAAATGCATATAGTAAGCACCTAATCGCGCAGGTCTGCTAGTTACTTATATTTTGTTCTTCAATTTGCATAAATCATAAGCTTACATATATGTATACTGACTAAGTACCGTGTATATTATACACGATGATGTGCGATGATCGCACAATTATAAAAACATCGATGACATCGATGTTAACATCGATGTTTTTGCAGCCCTAGTGTATAAGCACTAACCATACAGTATATAGATGTGCCAGTTCATACATCGAAAGGGGCGCAAGCTGAGTGTTCTGTCGATGTTTCATCGATGTTTTAAAAAATAGAAAGAAATTTTTTTTCTGTAAATTAAATTATTTTAATTGAAAAGATTTGGTTCATTTTATAACAAAATAAAAAGCTTTATTAGTCAAAGCAAAAAAACAATTTCAACAAGATCAAAATACAAATCTTATTCTATAAGTTTAACAGAAAATGGTTTGGTTCTTATTGATACATGAGTTTAGCTACGACTAGTGCTGCAAAAACATCGATGTTAACATCGATGTCATGGATGTTTTTATACTTGTGCGATGCATCGATGTTTTTTTTGTATCATCGATGTTTCACTGTATTCACTGACATAAGGCATTTATTTGGTTTGTTCCAGTCCCACCTCAGCGATAGATTGTCAAGGGCTGAGTCCAAGGTTTTCCAAGGAGACTATGGTGTAGGACAGTATCGGTGAGAGCGAGATTCCGTTACTGAAGAAAAGAAGGAAGACGATAGGATTAGTTAGGTGTATTGGTAAAGGCAGGCATGCGTGAGAGGGATTAAATAGGAGTGAAACAAATCTAAAACGTGGGCATAAGAATTGCTGGTCATCCGAAGCGGAGGTACTAATTAATAGCAGAGCTAGAATCTAGGCCGAGTGGGGTTAAACCCGATTAGTGGAATTTTCAAAAAGTGAGTGGTGAAAATTTTACATTTAAACGGAAATTAACCCGCGGTGTGTTTCCCTTAGCCTGGCCCGGAAGATTGCCCAGCGCAGCCGAGTCAGTGATTTTGCCCGAGGGAGATAATTTCTGGAGAGGATGTGCCAGATGAGCCGACCGTCGAAACCAAATTGTGAGTCCGTTCCGTGCCTGTTATTTTGAGCCGTGTATGAAGCCGAGATTTGTGAGGGGTGCATGTCTAACCAGGTCAAACGAACGATCCGCGCAGAGTGACCAAGGACCGTGCCGCAGACGCAGTGGTACACGTAGTCCGAGCCGTTGGACTCTGCCGGAGCCACCTCTACGATCACCTAAGGATTTGCACTCACGTTTGCACTCACGTTTACACTCAATTTTGCACCTACATATTGGCAGATCGACGATCGCCCACAGTACATATATTTTTTTTGGGAATTGTTCCTCACACTCCTCGCAAGCCGTTACGGACACATATGTGCCCGACAGTATTCGTATTGTCCATCGTGTTGTCCCTATTATATGTGTTAATTGTTATTTATTAGTAATTTAAGCAAACCCTAACGTAAAAAAACACTTTTGTAAACGCCAAACATTGGCGCCGACATAGACACAAAACAAAACATATGGTAGGATTAACCCTTGTGCGCGGCGCGGGGTCCCACAAGCCCACCGTTTTGGTGAAATATTGTTTGGTAATTTTTGTTGTCGATGGCCTTGTTTATATCTGCCCCTATGACCCTTAACAAGAGCTCTTGGTAGGTTAGTCTCGGGAGGGCCCAAAGAAATTTAAATCATTTCCCAATTTAATTCTGCATAAAAAACGCCCATTACGCACATAGGTATATTCTCCTAATCCAGTTGGTATTTATTTGAGTGCTGTCGTTAACTGAGTTGGTATTTTTTTTTTTATTATGTTATTTATTTAAATTATTAATGTTTATTATCTAGGAAGAAAAATTATAGTTAGGAGATGTATTTGTCGTATTATATTATATATTAAACTAAGGAATATTGAAAGGATGAAGGCCTAAATTAATTTAGAGGGAGGACGCGTGGCGTAAGCCATGGATTAGACCAGCCGCGGCCGTTCCAGCAGAGGGTGGCCAAAATGAACGTTGTATTTGACCATAGGTAGGGTGGGCGCGCGAAGTGGAAACACCTAGACTTCACCCACTTGACAGCCGTCTATTTGTTTGGTTCTTTTTGTTTGTCTTGCAGTCTATTGTAGTTTTTTTATGTCTGAATTGATGTCCCGAGAAGTCGAAATCTCAAACTTTGCTTACATTTGGCGGGCAAGGGGAACTACCCATCCCTGGGGTCGAGAGCTAGCCGGCGTTGCCCCACGAGCCGCAAGCCGAATGTAACAAATGGCGCCCAATAATTTATTGTTCCAATGCATTTGGACTGACGCAACTCCAGGTGTCATTCTAACAAATGACTCCTGGACGTGTAGAGGGGAATGCATGGGAGAAATAAATATAAATAAAATTTTTTGTAGAGAAGACGACGGCTCGCGAAATGCAGTTTAGCTGTCCCGGCAGAACTCGCTGCTGCAGGCTTAAGGGGAGCGCAAAGCTGACCCTTAATGGCGCGGAGTGGCCAACGCTAGGGAGAGATAGATGTAGTTAGGTAGAAAAGCTGTAGTGAGACGACTTACGAGTTCCATGTTGCGTTTCGCCACAGTTCGATGTCGCTAGTGAACGTAAGTCACTGCTGTTCCACGAAGGAACTGGTAGTTTGCGACGGACACATTGCCTGGTGGTTGTGATATCGAATAAATCTGTGATAGAATGTGATATGGGATAAGATAGAGTAAGTCATGTAGGTAAATGTTCAAGTTAGTTTCCCACCTGTTTGTTTGTAGATAGTCGCTTTCGTGTTTTGGTTTGGTTGTCTGTCCGCCGAGATGTTGTGAGGAGTCGGTGGCCCGGGTGTCGTAAAGACAGTCCGCGATGCATCTGCTGTCACGGCAAATCGGTAGGATGGATGGCGGGGACAAGACACAAGAAAGTTAAACTCGTGCACTCAAAGTGATGACTAGTGTAGGCGACAAGTCACACAAAAGGGGTGTTTTGTGAATGTAGTGTATCCGTAGAACGACTGTCAAGTGGAGCGCAGAAACTGGAGCGGTTGTTGGTCCCGGCTAGTCAAGTGTCCTCCTCTAAAAATAACTATTCTGTGAAGGAAAGAATTGAAAGTTATTTTGTTGTTTTGTATGTTTGTTCGAGAATATATTTTTTGAATTTTGGTTAGGTGTCGATCGATACATATTCTATTTATTTATTTATTCAAGTATTTATTGGGGAAATGAATATTAGCCTATTTGGCGGCATATTTATTAAGTAATTATTTATTTATTTACATGATTATTTGTTGTCAGAGGGGTTATTTATTTTGCTTGTTATTTATTTGGGTATTTATTTATTTAGTTATATATAGTTAGTTTCGTTTAGATTGTTATAATCGTGGTCTTTGTGGTCCTTTGGTGGGAATGCCAAAAGCAGTAAGCAGCCGGCCATATCCGACGCGATCTCGAGCACACGAAAGACAGGGATCGTTAGGAGAAGTGTCCGGGGCGATGGCCGACCAAGATCGTAGTGATCTGGGAGCTGTGGGTGGTTTGCCGAGAACACCAGTCCAGAACAGGGCAGAAGAGTGGCCGAATACACCATTCTTTCCTTCTGAATTGGCATCAGCAGCGAATGTAGCGATAGCTCAGGCGGGAGCGACAAATAGAGCAGCGCAGGCTGACTCTATAAGTCGGGTGTTGCAGGAGGAGTTACGCATGGGGTTCATGGGGATGATGCGTGAACTGAATGAGATACTCCAGCCGATGAGACAGCAGCCACCACAGCTGACAGTACCGCAATGGGAAGAGGACAACACCGAGCAAGGGCAGCGAGGAGCCATACCGAAGAGGAAGCCGTCGAGTTCGACTGAAGCGGCCAAACCGCCACCAAAACCACGTTTGTCACGGTCGGGGCACGATGGGAATGGTCCGGAGCCGTCTTCAGGAGTAGGGGCGACGGCATCTGCAGACCAGCATCGACGGGGTGATCATCGGGCTCAAAATTGGCTAAACCCGATAACGAGACAGCAAGGTACGGGTCGTAGCGGGAATAGAAGATCCGGTGGGAGAACAACCAGCAGCCCACGTGAGGAGCAGCATCCACAGTCGTCCCATTACCGATCGTGGCCTCGGTGGGGCCGAGTCGAGAAGTGGGACGTGACTTTCGATGGCGACGCCAATAAGGTGACCGTAGAGGATTTCGTTTTCCGAGTCGAATTCCTGCAGGCGCAAATGCGATGTCCCTGGGATGAGGTGATGAAGGGGTTACATCATCTGCTTACGGGAAACGCTCGGGAATGGTATTGGCAGTACGTACGGGATCATCGTGGTGGTAACTGGCAGGAGTTGAGGGATGATTTAGTTGCACGTTTCCGAGGCACAGCTTCCTAGTTTGACCGAATGAGAGAACTGCGGGAACGAATGCAACGGCCAAAGCGGAAGTCCCGATCTTCGTGGCGAGGATCACCAAAAGCCACCAACTTTGGCCGAGGAGCGAACGTCAGTGAGGTCGCGCAGGATCTGTCGAGAAGCGATGAGGAGGCAGAAGTCTGTGAGGAGGCGCAAGTGACAAGGCGGGGTCCAGTAATGTTGACTTGCTGGAACTGCGGGAAAACGGTTCATGGTTTTCGGGACTGTATGGCAACAGAGAGGCGAATCTTCTGCTACCGCTGTGGAAAGCCCGATGCATATTGTCCGACCTGTCTGAATTGTGCGGGAAACGCGAAGAAGAGTGCGATTCAAGCAGGCGAATCACGCTCACAGGTGGGGCCTGCGAACTGGAAGTAGAACATAAGAAGAATGTAATAGATAGACATAGTTTGCATGCTAGGTTAAGGAACTTACCGTATGAAGAGTGGTTAAGGAATTATTTAGAAGTCCGTAATAGAATATTTTCCGACTTAAAGGTGGATGGGATGCGAGCACTGTCAGTTCGGGTAAACAAGGCAAGATCCCGGTTTAAACAGAGACGATCGGTGAGGAGACAGGTGATTGCTTCAGTACAGCGCTGTAGCAAAAACGACCCAAGAGTATTCGCTGGAATCTCGATAATGGGGGAATCCATTAGAGGGTTGTTGGACTCAGGCGCTACGCACAGCATGTTAGGCAAGAATGGCCACGAGTTCTTGGAGAAGCTGGGTGTAGTGGCTCGTCGCTATTCGTCCATAGTTAAGGTGGCAAATGGAGAAGATCGCGCAATCGTTGGTCGAGTGGAATTGCCTGTGGAGTATAAGGGAGAGATAAAGAGATTAACCTTTTTCTTATGTCCGTTCTTGGAGCAGGAAATTTACTTGGGTGTAGACTTTTGGCGGGCTTTTGCATTGGCTCCTGAGGTGATGGGAGAATGTCCTGTAGGTGCATCACATAGATTGGTAGAAGAAGTGATGGCTGACCAAGTCGCTCACTATGTAGAAGGACCGGAAATTGTGCAGGAGGAATGGGACTTGTCGGAGGAGCAGAAGATCGTCTTGGATAAGGTGAAGGCCTGGGCAAGACGTCGATAGAGACGCATAAAATCCAGCTTGTGGAGAATGCCGAGCCTGTAAAGGATCGACATTATCCATTATCGCCAGCGATGCAGGACGTGGTTTGTGTGGAGGTGGACAAGATGTTGGCTTTAGGAGTCATCGAGCACAGTGATAGCCCGTGGAGTAACCGCACTACGGTTGTACGACGGCCGGGCAAAAATCGGTTTTGTCTCGATGCCCGAAAGCTCAACAAGGTGACCATCAAGGACGCCTATCCACTGCCTAGCATCGAGGGGATTTTGTCGCGGCTCGACCAGACGATATACATCTCCAGCGTCGATTTAAAATTCGCATTTTGGCAAATCGAGCTGGACGAGCCGAGCCGAGCCGAGCCTACACTGCTTTCACAGTGCCAGGAAGACCATTATACCAGTTCCGGATGATGCCCTTCGGTCTTTGCAACGCTGCACAACGCCTATGTAGATTAGTGGATAAGGTTATTCCGGTAGAGATGCGTTCAAATGTATATGCATACCTCGACGACTTGCTGATTATTTCCGAGAGCTTCGAACAGCACGTGAAGATTCTCCTACAGGTTGCAGAGCGACTAAGGAAGGCAAATTTGACGATAGGGTTAGGGAAATCTCATTTTTGCTTTAAAAACATTAAATACCTCGGTTTTATAGTGGGAGGAGGAACGCTGAAGATGGTTCCAGATCGTGTATCGGCTATTTTACGCATTCCCGAGCCACGATCTGTCCGAGAATTGCGTAGTTTCTTGGGTACTGCGGGTTGGTATCGGCGTTTTATGAAGAACTTTGCAGAGTTAGCCGTTCCACTTACAGATGCCTTGAAAAAGTTGGGAAAAGGTAGATTTAGATTGACGGATGAGGCAAAGCGAGCAATGGGAGAGCTGAAAGCTGCACTTACCTCTGCACCTGTCCTCGTACACGCAGATTTCAAGCGGCACTTTTACATCCAGTGCGACGCGTCGCATTATGGGGTAGGAGCCGTACTCTTCCAACGCGATGATGAGCAGAACGAGAGGCCGATTGCATTCTTCTCGGCAAAGCTGAATTGCCACCAGATAAACTACTGTGTGACAGAGAAAGAGTGTCTGGCAGCTCTCATGGCGATTCTGAAGTTCCGTCCGTATGTCGAGCTTAAGCCGTTTACAGTCATTACTGACCACGCCAGTCTCAAATGGCTCATGACGATGAAGAACTTGGATGGTCGTTTAGCTCGGTGGTCCCTTCAATTGCAAGCCTTCGATTTCGGCATAGAACACCGAAAAGGAGTGGATAATGTAGTGGCAGATACATTGTCCCGCAATATCGAAGAGTTGGAAGTGGATCCGAGCAGTGTCCTGGGTTTCGAAACGGTGGAGTTCGAGTCTGAGGAATATCAGGAGTTAAAGAAAGAAGTCAGAGAGAATCAAGAATCAATCTGATCTTCAGATTGTAGATGGAATGATATTCAAGCGCATGCGCTTTGAAAGGTTAGAGGACCAACTGGAGGGATCTGTCTGGAAATTGTGGGTTCCGAGTTCGCTGACGGCCACATTGATAGACAAGGCGCATCTCGATGAAAAGACGGCACACGGTGGTATTGCCAAAACGTTGCACCTTCTGCGTAGGCAATTTTACTGGCCGAAAATGGCTGTGGAAGTGCGCGATTACATCCGACGTTGTGACGTTTGCAAGGAGTCGAAAGCGCAGAATTACCGGATGCAGGTTGGGATTGGACAGGAGGTGATCACGGAGCGTCCATTCCAAAAGCTATACATAGATTTCTTAGGGAAATATCCGCGTTCGAAGAATGGTCAAGCGTGGATATTCATTGTGGTTGACCACTTCTCGAAATTCACTTTCCTGAAAGACCATGAAAGCGGCCACGGCGAAGGATGTAGTGACGTTCCTCGTCCATGAAGTCTTTTATAAGTTTGGGGTGCCGGAGACTATTCACTCAGACAATGGGGCTCAGTTCATTTCCAAAACGTTCAGGGAGATGATTGAAGCGTTTGGAGTGACCCATTTGAGGACGCCAGTGTATTCTCCACAAAGCAACGCAGCCGAACGTGTGAATCGTACAGTTCTTAGCGCGATTCGGATGTATTTGGAGGACGATCACCGGGACTGGGACGTTCATCTTCCGGAGATAGAGTTGGCCATAAGGAACTCAGTTCATGAGGCGACAGGCGTGACTCCGTTCTTTGCGGAAAAATACTTAAGACAGGTGGAAACACTACCAACTTGTGGGACCATGTACAGAGGATTCATCCAAAGAAAGCAAGCGACAACTAGTTTCTGATCCATCGAAGTTGGATTCGTTTGTATTGAGTATGTTTATGTTTATTAATAAGAACCAAACCATTTTTGTTAAACTTATAGAATAAGTTTTATTTTTTTGCTTTTAGGAATAAAGATTTTAATTTTGTTGTGAAATGAACCAAATCTTTTCAATTAAATCAACTTAATTTTTTTTTAAATTGAATTTAGAGCTCGGGATTGTTTATTTATTTAAAACATCGAGGTATTCCGCCGATGTTTTTTTTTACTGAAAACACTTCGGTAAATGCTTCAATGCCATAGTATCGCGCGTGAGTTCGTCCGATGCCGTTTAGTGAAGCACGGTGAGAAACAAATTTTTTCTGAGGATTTTAATTGGTTGGTCCCTTATTGGAGAAAAAAACAATTTCAACCACGCAAAATGACTTAGGCTATAAGTTTACGAAAATGGTTTGGTTCTTACGTTGGGCTTGCTGCAGATAGAAGCTGCAAAGACTCGTGTTAACATGGTTGTCATCGATGTTTTTAATCCGGTGGGCATGCCCATGCGTATGTTTTTTTTCATCAATGGTTCACTGTATTCACTGACATAGGCTTTATTTGGTTTGTTCCAGTCCCACCTCAGCGATAGATTGTCCAGGGCTGAGTCCAAGGTTTTCCAAGGAGACTATGGTGTAGGACAGTATCGGTGAGAGCGAGATTCCGTTACTGAAGAAAAGAAGGAAGAGGATAGGATTAGTTAGGTGTATTGGTAAAGGCAGGCATGCGTGAGAGGGATTAAATAGGAGTGAAAAAAATCTAAAACGTGGGCATAAGAATTGCTGGTCATCCGAAGCGGAGGTACTAATTAATAGCAGAGCTAGAATCTAGGCCGAGTGGGGTTAAACCCGATTAGTGGAATTTTCAAAAAGTGAGTGGTGAAAATTTTACATTTAAACGGAAATTAACCCGCGGTGTGTTTCCCTTAGCCTGGCCCGGAAGATTGCCCAGCGCAGCCGAGTCAGTGATTTTGCCCGAGGGAGATAATTTCTGGAGAGGATGTGCCAGATGAGCCGACCGTCGAAACCAAATTGTGAGTCCGTTCCGTGCCTGTTATTTTGAGCCGTGTATGAAGCCGAGATTTGTGAGGGGTGCATGTCTAACCAGGTCAAACGAACGATCCGCGCAGAGTGACCAAGGACCGTGCCGCAGACGCAGTGGTACACGTAGTCCGAGCCGTTGGACTCTGCCGGAGCCACCTCTACGATCACCTAAGGATTTGCACTCACGTTTGCACTCACGTTTACACTCAATTTTGCACCTACATATTGGCAGATCGACGATCGCCCACAGTACATATATTTTTTTTGGGAATTGTTCCTCACACTCCTCGCAAGCCGTTACGGACACATATGTGCCCGACAGTATTCGTATTGTCCATCGTGTTGTCCCTATTATATGTGTTAATTGTTATTTATTAGTAATTTAAGCAAACCCTAACGTAAAAAAACACTTTTGTAAACGCCAAACATTGGCGCCGACATAGACACAAAACAAAACATATGGTAGGATTAACCCTTGTGCGCGGCGCGGGGTCCCACAAGCCCACCGTTTTGGTGAAATATTGTTTGGTCATTTTTGTTGTCGATGGCCTTGTTTATATCTGCCCCTATGACCCTTAACAAGAGCTCTTGGTAGGTTAGTCTCGGGAGGGCCCAAAGAAATTTAAATCATTTCCCAATTTAATTCTGCATAAAAAACGCCCATTACGCACATAGGTATATTCTCCTAATCCAGTTGGTATTTATTTGAGTGCTGTCGTTAACTGAGTTGGTATTTTTTTTTTATTATGTTATTTATTTAAATTATTAATGTTTATTATCTAGGAAGAAAAATTATAGTTAGGAGATGTATTTTTCGTATTATATTATATATTAAACTAAGGAATATTGAAAGGATGAAGGCCTAAATTAATTTAGAGGGAGGACGCGTGGCGTAAGCCATGGATTAGACCAGTCGCGGCCGTTCCAGCAGAGTGTGGCCAAAATGAACGTTGTATTTGACCACAGGTAGGGTGGGCGCGCGAAGTGGAAACACCTAGACTTCACCCACTTGACAGCCGTCTATTTGTTTGGTTCTTTTTGTTTGTCTTGCAGTCTATTGTAGTTTTTTTTTGTCTGAATTGATGTCCCGAGAAGTCGAAATCTCAAACTTTGCTTACATTTGGCGGGCAAGGGGAACTACCCATCCCTGGGGTCGAGAGCTAGCCGGCGTTGCCCCACGAGCCGCAAGCCGAATGTAACATGTTTTTCTCAATTTGGTTGGTGGTTCCTTCGGGTAAAATGGAAAAGTTTTTGCGCATAACAAGTTAGTAAGAGTCTCAGCAGTTGTGGCCTTATATTTCAATAATTGTATTGCGTTTCAGATAAAGACAGTGACAGTGTGTCTTGAAATCATCGATGTTTCCACCATCGATGATTTTGCAGCTCCACCTACGACATCAACTTTAAGTCTGGTGCGACGGTCCGATATGATCTGTCCAGCCTTGTTGAAAGACCTTACGGAATCGCACGATGTTTCCACACATCCACCGACGTTGCCTACACCACAAGTTGAATACCTGAAAACATCTAAATATAGTCAAAAATTCAATTTATATATGTATATATTTTTACACATACCTTCTGCGCTTCCCTTACTTTAAGCAGGTCATCCACGATATAATTTGTTGGAAAACATGTTGTATATTATGAATTTCATTTGCCCACCAACGTGTGCGAACATTTCTTGCAAACATAATTTTCTTTAAATTGTCAACGAGTAAACATGTCAGAGGACACCGAGACAGTAATTGCCTTAATGGCAATACATATATGTTTGGAGAAAAAAAAGAAAAAAGGCAATGCAGGCAATGTATAAATTCTTGCAAAAATTGTTTTGACATTTTAAATGAAGGCGTTCACTCAAGCCAAAATGTTTACAAATGATGTTTGTGCCAAAATTGCCATCCATTGACGAACATGTTGGCACGAGCACAACGAAGATAGAATAATTACTATTCTCTTCGAACACAACATCGAACTCGAAATTACGACCCTAACACTACCACCAACGATTCGAACCCAACATATTTTCCGAAAAAATTCTATCGTGGATGGCCCGATTTACTTACCTTGCAAAAACATCGATAGTCGCCATAAAACATCCATGTTTCCACAAAATTTAAAAACATCGATGCATCGATGTTTCTCAACCTCTAACTAACCATACAGAATACAGGAACATACGCTGAAAACTCAGCTGAACCACTTTCGTTGTATGAACTGGCACATCTATATACTGTATGGTTAAGTTAAGTGGTTAAGTTTACACCCGGTAGCGGAGATGTGCAATTGGGCACTGGATTGACATACTAATCCTCGACAATGCCAATGATAAGAAGATTTTGGGCCTATCGTAATGTACCCACTAAAAAGTTCAAGGCATCCAAGACCGAGCACGGCCTTAACTTGAAGGGGAGAGCAGCTAACACTCGGTAGCGGAGATGTGCAATTGGGCAGTGGGTTCTTGCATTTAGGTATGAACTTATTCAGCTGACTAAGGCCACTAATTTCGTCGCCACCGAGAGACGATTGCACCGCTGCCGCTGAATATGAAGCTTTAGAGCTTAGCTTAATCTTTCTGATATAAAGTGTTGCAGTCTTAACAGATCGTCTATCGAACCAACGTTGAATAAATGAATAAGCTCCGGCCATAGCCGTAAATGATTGTTTGTTGTATTGTTGAGCTGATCGGCCAACAACAACTCATTACTGGAAAGCTCCATATTACGTCTCTCTCACCTATCGGCGAATGCCTTATGGCATAAATCGTCGTGGTCTTATCTTCAAGCCACCCCTGGAACACCTGATATTATTTATACACAATGTTCCCGCTCGTTTTTGTTGAAAACGATGAAACCACTAAGGAATCAACACATAAGATCCAGACTGAATAAACGAGTGTTCAACGGAGCTCAACATGTCTGTTGTCGTCGACAGAAGCTTCTTTTTCTTAGCGCATACTGCCTCACACAACCAAACATCAATACCTTTTTTCAAATTAAACATTTATCTGTTTATATTGATTTTATTCAACCAAGCGAGGCTTAAAAACATCTATTTTTTCCTTTTATCCCAACTCACAGAGTTACCTCGCTTTAGGGATATTCTTAATGGCTATAATACAATGTTGGATTTCCATACGAGCTCTCGCGCCGAAGGCTTCGACTTGGCTCAAGCCAAATTCACGAAGACAACTCTGTCGTAACGATTTCCCAAGCGATTTGCTCACTATGGCGAGGAAGTGTTACCTGTCGGGCCTCCTTTGGGCAACTTGTAGTCCTCGCTTCTCTCCAGACGTGGCTATAGTAAGCTTCGGCTGGGGGATCTGCTTAGGCTAGCGCCTAGTCAGCCATGCACAGCTTCGCACACAATGGGCTGACCCTTTTTTTCTACTCACCCCTAAGCGTTGAGCTCTACTTTGAGTTTCCGCAGCTGCTATGCATTGCATCCTATCGCTGGATTTGCTTTCCGCTGGGCCTCGTCCCGCTGGTCATTGCTTGTACTTCTGCCGTCGACTGTACTCGCACTCGTTTTTAATTTCCTCACTTGTGACTCGCACTCGACAGACTGTCCCTCGCCTCTGTCACTAGACTCCTCTTATACCTTTGACGCGGTCATCTGCATCGCTCTTTAGCAAAAACGGTAAGTCAACGCGGCATCGGTAACTTTCCATCGGCGCGTTTCTTTTCTGTTCTTAACGGGACCAGGCTGGTAGCGTGATCCAATGACCGTACTTGGTCGTGTGCTGTATCCCTGCCGGCCGGAAATTTAAGTATTCATAATGTAGACGTTCGTCTTGTTTCTGCCCTTGTTGTAATATAAAAATCGTTGAGTGCATATCCCTTTTACGGATATGAGTCCTGCCAAACATTTCTGCGATGTCCCCACAGACCTCGATTTTGCCGACTCTAAAGGCCAGAATTACATCTGTTAAGCTAGCGAGCTTTTTCACTAGCGTAGTTTTGCGATTATTTAAGAGACGATGATTGTTCAGTTAATATATTCACAATTTATTTTACTTAAGTTAATATATATGTATTATCCAAAACTAGCGAAAGGTGTGCGAATTTAATGACGAGAGTTAACGATGGGTCGATTGAAGACGCGGGGGCCGGTTCAAGACTGTTGAAGTTGATATGTTTATGTTAGGTTTAGTTTAGAACTCTGTGGCAGGCAGGTCACTGTGCCAGACAGCCAAACGTTTTTACTACGGTGATGATCGAATTTGAAGTGTGATCTGCTTTTTCTGATGAGCGGCTGACTAACGCCGAGAAAGAGCAAAGCACCAGCAAGAGCATAAGTACAAGCAAACAAACGGTTATAAAGAGAGACATTAGATTAAGAGATGATCAACTACTCTTTGTGCTGCCATGGGCCGGCGCTTAGCCGAACATACTCCCCCCGTTGAAGAGCACGGGTCTTTAACATCCTTCTTTGGCAGCCACATTTCCTTTGTTGATCCAGGTGACGTCTTTATTATAGCCACTCCGGAAACCATGCCTGACTCGACGAGGTGGTCCAATACTCGTGCGAGGGGGCACTTCAGACTGGTTAACTGAAAATAACACAGGAGAAAGTGGATCTGGTGCGCGAGACTGAGACACCTCTCCTGCAACTATCCATCCTAGCCTGGTTTCCTGAAGACGTGGCAGACCAGCTCCCAATTGGATTTGGCCAATGCAGAGAAGCTCAAAGAACAGTCCCGCTCCAATAAGAATGCCCACAGGTTGAGACTTGTAGAACTTGGGATCCGCTAACAGTGTGTTGCAGGGAATGTTCCAGCTGTTTAGGTCGATATTGCAGTTAGGTTGACTGGACGTAATGGTGGGAGCAACTACTGCCGAAATGGTCGTGGCATAACTTGATGTGCGTGATTCCAGGTTGATATCTACGGAGCATCCTTCCGATGTGGCACGCGACTCGCCGAGATCAGACACCAAAACATCCGACTCTTTCCTTTGAAGCTGCAACTGCTGAGCCAGGCGAGAAGTAATGAGATGCACCTGCGATCCAGAATCAAGCAAGGCACGGCATGGAATGAGTGTACCAGAGCGATTCCTTACGCTGATTATGGCAGTGGCAAGAAGTACGATGTCCTGCCTGTGACTCTGGGCCAAAAGCGATGTGGCTGACGCTGTTGCAGTATGTACAACGCCAGAGGGTCCCGCGGGCAATTGCGGAGCTGATGTAGAATGTGACAGTGATGGCAGAATGGATTGAGAACCGTAAGACGGGGACTCGAAGTGAAGTAGAGTGTGATGTCTGGCACCACATATTCGGCAGGATCGAGAATGACAATGCAGCCTGCGTGTGGCCTGCTCGGAGACAGTTGGTGCACAGTGACAGCTTCTTAGTTTCCTGAAGCCGAAGTTGAGCGGAAAGATTCCCAAATTGTGAACACGCATAAATGGAGTGTCCTGGATCACCGCAGAATGTACAGACCTTGGAGCTGGTTGCGATTAGACAGTGTTTCCGACTGCTCTGGGTGTACATATCATTTGCGTGCTCTTGGGTTTCCAACCTCTGGTATCTCTGCTCCAGAAACGTGGCGAATTGCTGGCTGGAGGGTATGCTATCCAACGACGAGCATTCCTCCCACTTGGTTTGTGTGGCGCTGTCCACCTTCTGTAGCAGGCTGTGTATTAAGATGCAGTCAGCAATCTGCTCCTTTGTCCCCATACTTTGTAAAGCTCGCAGATTGGCATTAACTGTATCCGAAAGGGACCGTAGTTGGGAAACAGATGAGGCCTCGACACGCTGCAAGCTCAGAATGTCTGTGACATGTGCCTGAAAGATGAGACGCTTGTTATTAAATCGTTTGCTGAGTAAATCTAGAGCAATAGGATAGCTGGCGTGGCTTAATTCCAGCGACGAGATCGTGTCCAGCGCTGGTCCCTTTAGGCATGATCGTAAATGCTGCAGCTTCGCGACATTCGTAAGGTCAGGGTCCTTATCTATAATGGAGGAGAACATGCCCCAAAACGAGGAATACTGAGCGTAGCCCCCACCGAACTCAGTAAGCTTTAACTCCGGCAGGCGTGGCCGACTTTGCACGACGACCGTAGTTGGGGCCTCTCCTACATGGTCCGCCCGCATTGTTGAACATGGTAGCATTGTGGGCTGCCGCTTGTTTAACTCTCACTTCATGCGAATCTCCAGCATGACCACGCACTCGTCAAACTTATCCCTCAAGGGACTACCGATCTCATCGAGATCAATCTTCTCCAGGGCATTATGGTGCTCGTTGAATGAAGCTACAAGATCCGCTAGCAGCTTCAGCCTCACGTTCAGCTCCTCCTCACTGAGCTCGCCAATCCTCTCCTTGCCGACGGCCGTTTCGATTCTCCGTGCCGCCCCTAGCATGGATTGCACCTTGCGCTTGTAGAATGCAGCTTCCGAATTGACGAACAATGGTGGGGGGGGGCAAGATCGAAGGGGTGCTATTAGAAGCCATCGTGTATGTTCAATAGAAAAGCTGGGCTTAGAGTCACTGAGAGAGTGTAGAGGTTAACAGCCGGTGAATAACCTCGAACAGTTTTACACGAACTGTACAATCGATCGAAGCGTTTAAAAACACACAGTCTTGCAGTTTTACAGATCAGCAGCGAGAGCTAACAGTTTCAAACGCACTGCACTTGTGCATCCGACAACAACAAAGGCATGCACACTGAGAGCACGAAACCGAAACGAAACAACAGCAAGCAAGCAGACCGCAAAGCAGATGACGCGAGAACCGTTTCTGTTGCTTTTGCACAAACGATGAACCGAAACACCGTGGTTCAAAGCGAATTTATCCAACGAAAATGTTTTTTGTGATACAATTTAAAGAGTTTATGTTTATATCACGTCGGGGTCACCAAAATGTTGAGCTAGCGAGCTTTTTCACTAGCGTAGCTTTGCGATTATTTAAGAGACGATGATTGTTCAGTTAATATATTCACAATTTATTTTACTTAAGTTAATATATATGTATTATCCAAAACTAGCGAAAGGTGTGCGAATTTAATGACGAGAGTTAACGATGGGTCGATTGAAGACGCGGGGGCCGGTTCAAGACTGTTGAAGTTGATATGTTTATGTTAGGTTTAGTTTAGAACTCTGTGGCAGGCAGGTCACTGTGCCAGACAGCCAAACGTTTTTACTACGGTGATGATCGAATTTGAAGTGTGATCTGCTTTTTCTGATGAGCGGCTGACTAACGCCGAGAAAGAGCAAAGCACCAGCAAGAGCATAAGTACAAGCAAACAAACGGTGACATTAGAGAGACATTAGATTAAGAGATGATCAACTACTCTTTGTGCTGCCATGGGCGAGCGCTTAGCCGAACAACATCCATTACCGCATTTAAGCAATCTTGTCCGCATATAAGTGGTCATTCAAAGATGATCCGTGTGAATGTGCTGCTGCATCCCAAACAAGCCTTATTTTGGCGTGGCTTTTTAGGATTTAGTGAAATAAAAAGAGGAAGATATTACGTACGCTTTTAAAGCTCGTCAGGCTCCAAGTCTGCTATTTGAGATGCGTAACCTTTTGTAAGAAGATTCTTAATTTGGTCGTGGATTTTTGTGTAAAGAACTGGTTTTTTGACAATTTTTCTCTTAAGACAGTCGTGTCGTTTGATTTAGATGATACGGCTTTCATGTAGTGTTTACGCCTAGTTCCGCTACAAGAGAGCCACTTCGAATTCACCGAATTTGTATTGGAAATTACCGCTACCGCCGGTATAGCCCTTGGGTTCCATACGCTTACTGAGCCCCCTCATCGCGGCCAGATGGTAGTTCTCCGAGGGGGATGGATATGTTACTCCCCCGGCATTTCTTATAAGAATGTCCTTCATTTTAGGGTATAGGGATGGAATTTCATTTATAACTATTGGGGTACTTTTTACTTATTCTTCTTCCTCTTCCTTAGGTCTTACATATTTAATAGTTATATTTTTAGGTATTTTCTTAAATATAACAATTAGATACGCAATTATGCTTATTATTGATAAAATGAACATAATTATTATAAATATTTGCAATAGATTAATATATTTTGTTTGTTCTTTAATTATTTCTTTTGTCTACACATAAGATAAAGGTTCTAATCTAGTCATATTATTACTCACATACACATTTTGTGTGAAATCAAGCATTGAATTAGTTATTATGAATTCGTTTAATTGGATTGAACAGTTGTAAATCTTAATTATGTTATTTCCTTCGATTATTATTTCTTTGTCTAAACAATTTTGGTTTAATTTGGATTTGGGAAGATTCCATGTTAACAGAATTTTTGGTTCAACGTAATTTATTTGGAAATTCTTAAATGTTTTTGTGTATGGACATTTAGTGGGTTTTTGTTTTGAAATCCCTTTAGAAGACGATTGTATCTTCTATTATTTGCTTAGTTTCTTTGCTATATACTTTATCTTCGTAACTATAATATTTATCGAATGTTATTTCTGTTAAAATATTATTTTGATTATCTGGATATGAGACTATTTTGTATACTGGGATGTTAGCAATTTCGCTCGGAATATTGGAGATTATATAGATTTCATTTGTGTCAACTTTTAACTATATAGAAGTTTTAATATTTATTAATTTCTCAGAATTTATATGTTTCAGGTAATCTTGCTTTAATAGTTTTGGATTAAAAATACCAAGTCTAGTTAGTTGCATTCTCATTTCTATATCTTCTATGTATTCTGTGAAATGTTGTAGATTGAAAACTAAAATTTCTAATTGTTGATTCATGTTGTTTTATTCGTTTAATTTGTTTATTATCTCAATTCCATGGTTGACCACCTCTATAACTAAATTTAGTTCATTTGTGTGGATACTATGAATGGCAAGATTTTCTATTTTCTGCTCTAATTCTTTCCTATCTTCTTTATCTAATGTGCCAAATAAGTATTTATAGGCGGTACCTCCGATATTTATTAGGCCTCTCCTGTTGCGCTTAGCTATTCTTAAGCCGTTTATTTCCCTATTTAATTTATCTATTAGATATTTTACTTGAATTACTTGAATTCATTAGCCATTACTAGAAGGTTTTGATACGTTTCTTCGGTTTTTGTTACATTAACTATTAAGTAATGGTACTCATAGTTTATTGGGAGATCAGTAGATCCCGTTTTAGACATGAGGTATCCATTTTTGGATTTGATAGGATTTTTGTTCGATATTTTGTCATGAATATAGTGAGGCTTTTAATTGGCAACTTAATTGATTAAAATGGTCATATTTGCTTACATTAATTTTCTTTTTATACTTAGCTTTATAATGGGTTATTTTCCTTCCTCTATTCTTCTCTTCGTAATGTTTTTCGTCTAACTTTGTTATTTCACCTGTCTTTTTAAAGGGGTTAGTTATCTTATTCTTTAATAGGGGGGATTGTCTGAACCTAGTGTCAACTTCAAAATCGTTACGACTTTGGTTCAACTGGATGATTTGTTTCACCTTGTTCAGTTGAGTGTCGTACACTGGGTGTCCTGCGTTAATAAATATATCTGCAGGCGTTCTGTTAGTGGTAATATGTCGGAGTTTGTGATTATATGTGTACATTATCAATTCGAATTTAGTGTACTTATTTTCGAGATCATTCTCACTAGTTATGATCCTCAATTTTTCGTTCACAGTTTTAAGGAATCTCTCAACGTCTGAGATTCCATTTTTACTGGATGTTATTAGTATTTTGATATTTTCCGAGATTAGCCATGCTTGCAATGCTGCGCAAATAAAAGCTGAATCTCTGTCGGCTTTAATCTCTTGGGGTTTTCCCATTTCCTTGAAGACCTTTAGTATGGCCCTTTTGGTTTCCAACCAGTCGCGACTGTTTACTTCTATGAGTGTAGCGAACTTTAACTATATATCTATACAGGATAGGAATTTTTGGTTACCCATCAGATAGAAGTCCATTACATATCGCTCTCGGACTTCCGGTGTTAATTCGAATGCCAACTTGGTGTTTCTATGCTCAGTTTTGGTCATATTATACGTTGTGCATTCGTGTATTATATTCTGTATCAATTTTTGGTGGTCAGGGTAGTAATATTTTCCCTTAAACCAATTGATGGATTTCTCTATTCCCGGATGAAGTAGTTCTTTATGTTTTTTCATTATCATTTCTTTGAATTCCGTGTAATACTCGATTTCAGAACTTTTTTGAAATTGTTTGCACTGAAAATTTCCAAATACGATTGTTGGAAGGTTGGGAAATCAGTTTCATTATGGAATTATAAAGCACTCTTTTTGGTACATATATAAATTATGTTTTGACTATGTTAGTCCGAGCTGCGGTCCGGTGCGTAGGCTCCGGCGGCAGCGATCGGCTTCCGGTGGCCCGCTCTGGTAGTTTGATTTGATTTTGATTTTCATCTTTGTGGATTGGTTTGTCGAATTCTGGGAAGATGTAAACGTGATTTTGAACGTCCGGTAAAAAGGAAATTATAGGTGGAGAATTGGTTGATGTGTCACTAACAACATCTAGTCGGTATTGGTTGCTTTCGAGCTCATCTGTTTGCGTGCACTTTTCGGCTGTACACGGGCTACCCAGTTTTTTGAACTATTACATTTTTTACAGGACGGCTTGTATGTATCCGCCTTTCCACAGCCGTAGCAAAATACGCGACGAACCGGGCTATCGCAATCCTGGTAGCGGTGACCAGTAGCTTCACAATTCCAGCACACTAAATTAATGGCGGCTATTCCCATTTCTTCGTCTTCCGATATCTCGGTTTCTGTTTCACACTCCACCTGACATTGAACTGCATTGACAGATCGGCGCGGCATCAGCACTGGACGAGATTTTGATGAAGCGTGATATCCTACCGTTTGTATAAAGTGTATAAAAGTGTAAAAGTGTATAAAAGTAGGAAGATCTCTCGAGTTCTGACAAAATGCCGAAGTTTTGATATGCTGGATATTTCCTCATATAGGAGTTCATGCTGGATATCCAGGCGCAAATTAGACCTAAGCGACTCTAAGAGAGAACATTCCGACATGGGAATAGAGAGCTTATCCGCAAGAGAAATGATTGACTCGTAGAATTCGTCAAAACTTTCTCCATTCTTTTGTTTGCGTCTATCGATGCTCGCTCTTATCTGTAGGTCGGTTCGTTCGTCTCTGAATTGACTTTTAAGAGCTTGGCAAAGGCCCTCCCATTGTACCATAGGTACACTTTTGTGGTACCGCCAAAACCATTCGCTAGCGGTTCCTTCAAAAAGGTTGCTGGCATACCGCGCAAGCAACTCGAAATTGCCCTGCAGCGTTTGGGATGTCAATGCCTCGGCCCGATAAATAAAATCGTCGACGCCTAAAACAGATTTACCAGAAAATCGAAGTTTCCAATTAAAAATAATTTGGCTAATTCGATCTGGGCGCAAGTCCGAACCAAAAGGAGTATTCCTATTTTCCGGCGGTAGACCATGACCATTCGATGGAACCAAGGTAGCAGGATTTCGATTGCTGGGAACTCCAGGATCAGTTTGCTGTCTCAACGTTGGTGGTGGAGTTGGAGTGGAGCATTGAACCCTGTCTGTAAGGCTTGGATCATCAAATCGGTCTGTCGAGCGGTGGCTTGTGCCAGTAACTCCGACTGACGGATCGCGGCGGCAGCCATATCATTTGCAATCAATTGCTGAAAATTCTCGTTTGTTGGCGCATCTACACCGGAGGGTGCAACGCTGTCGTCAGCCATTTCATGAGCTGAAGCAGTAGTGTCTCTTTTGGATTTTGCCCGAGTAGTGGTCCCTGATCCCATCGGTTTTTCCGCGGAAGGTTCCTCTAGGTTTCGTTTGCAGATTGGGCACACTTTCTTATTTTTAATCTTTGTATTAAAACATACATTGTGAAAAGTGTGTCCACAACTAACTCTTAATGCATCCGATTCATGGGCCACCGGACCGGTACAAATAAAGCAGGTGACAGCAGATTTTTTTGCTACAGCAATCTCGTCACTCTCTCCTATCGAAATCATTTTATATATATTGTAAATAGTTGTAAATAATTACACAAAAAATTTTTAAAAAATTCAAAGCAGCAAAATTAAATGAAGGTAATATAGTTTTGGGGGTCTATGCGAACGTTCTTTAAGGATATGTAGGTAATCCAACCGATTACTAATGCTGATGCAAAGGATGCTAAGAAAAAGACAGAGGCGGACGATAATAGCCTAGCGCCAATTTATCGTATCCAGCGAATATCTACCAACTATAGAGAACGAACAAGGTAAATTCATGCGAAATGTATCTAAGCAACGGAATAAAAGCTATTTTGAAGCTTTTATTTATCCAGTACGCCTAACAAATGCATGCTTTGGGATGCTAATTGACTTCAGAAAGGGCTGTGTATTTATATTGAAATTTACAACAGATCCACAATCTGTGCACAAGCATTTAGGGAAGGATCCGCTGCTCTATCCGCTCGTCTAGATACGGAAAGTTATTAAAATTCGTGTGCGATGAACAAGTCGGTTTATGAAACACTAACGAAAAGGAACAGACAGAACATAGACTAAACTCCTAGCATCCAGACTTTTATCCTGTGGCGCAAGATGGAAACGCGGCCACGAATGCCCTCCCTTCCATGATCGCTATAATCCAATAAAGTTATACGTCGATCCCTAAAAAGTCTATGCCGCAATACCTATGCCTACGTTCCCTACACGACGCATGACCCCCTCAAGTTAGGCACACTCAGCAGGAGTTCATATTAAAGCTTATAGCTAAATTTATTCAACATCGCAACATCCAAAACTATCGATTTTAAACTAATTATTGAAACAACTTATGTTGATCTTTCAATGGCGATACCCAAATATAAAAGGAAAATAATATAAAGTAAGAAAGAAAATTATAAAAATATATCAAGAAAAAGGCAAATGTATGTATGTATATAATAGATGAAATATAACATTAAATTAAGATAAGAATATTGAATATAGAATATAAATGAATGGGATTAAATATAATAATGAAATGCATATATAAGAAGGTCTTAAACCAAAAAAAAGAAGGAAAACAAAAAAGAATTTTTTTGTTGGCTAGTGTAGTTTTCGTTTTAGTTTCTCCATGTAAGAAATTGCATGGAATGCATGGCATGCACAAGTTACGTTAGCAGCAAAAGCAACAAAAGCTCTGGCGCTTGTGCATAAACTTTTATGCGCAGGTCGGTTCGTCTAGCGGGAAGAACGCACCAAAAGGGAACAACAAAAATTGATCTTTCATCACTCACAGTTTGGTATGCATGTATGTATGCTTACAGTACTCCCTCGCTGAAAGGCCTTTCGCTGGGGTTTTGAAGAAGCTGTGGAATATAATAATTATGGTTCCCTGTTGGTTTTGGCCGACTGCATGTTACAGTTTAAATTTTTTATCTTTTTTGTTTTTTATTCTTTTTAACAAACTGCTGTTTCTTTTCTTTCTTCTTTGACTAATGTAACATAATTAAATAAGGGGGGAATTACAGGTCGTTAAATCAAATTAATAGAATTGACAAAATTTAAGTTTAATTAAATAATAAAAAAAAGACGTTGCTTTAGGCTTCGATTGCAGCCTAAGAAGTATTCAAGGCCCTCTTAGCGGGTCTACACTGTAGTCAATGTAGGCTGTGGCGCCTGCGCAGAGGTTATGGCAAGGTTACATCAAGGTTATGGGGATGCTACGTAGATTTTATGGTTTTTCCAAAGTGAGTGCAACCAGATGCTGGGGCCGGGCGTCCACCGGGCTCCCAAGAAAAAAATGCCCCACCCCTCAGCTTATTGCCGACAAGACGTCAAGGCGCTGCTGCTCTGGCTGAGTGTGGGGGGAAAACGTAAGCGAAGACCTGCGGGGGGGAAGAATACAGACAAGAGGCAATTATAAGAACCTTTGTTCTCGGCCACATTGGACCTACCGATCTTTCCGGGATTTCCGTGGATAATTATCACTTTCTTCTGTCCGTATATTGATCGTGGATGGGGTGCACGCCAGTCCAAAAATGTTGGAATGGCTCTAGGCCAGGTGAAATTTAAATTCACTGAAATCACTGCACGGCGTTCGTTTTAAATTTTTTTTCACACACGTGGTTTGTCGAAAATTGGCTCACTATAGAACGGGTCACGAACCGATCCGATGCGATAGGAAGAGCTAAACTATGTTCTAAAAAGCTTCTTTTGACAACTGTCATTTAACGAAAGCTTCGCCCACTCAGCTGGTTTGAAAGCTAAGCTTTGCTTTGCCTGAAATTATGCAGCGTGATTCTGCCAGCATAATTTATCCAATTTTATCGCATGCGATAAATTATAAATAAATGCGCTTAATTATTTTTGTTCAGCTGCAACTACCAGCGCCACTACACTTAACTGGTCCTTGAGGTTTTCTGTATTTATTGGGGCGTTCGGAATTTGTTTCTTTATGATGTTAATTGATGATCCCGAATCCACAATACCTCTACGTATTTTATTATTTAATTTTATATTTATATAGGGTCCTTCTCGGTTTCTTCCGAGGCTGTTTGATTAAAATTGACATCCATTTTCATCTGATCGCTTTGGCTTTCCCTAATTCTTTTAGTAGGTTGATTGGGCCTGCTGCCACTAGCTTGCTTTTGATTAATTTGGTAATTCACAGGATTCTGTGCCTGACCTTTATTCAAAGAGTTACTTAATTCTTGGTGCAATCCAGGATTATTATTATTGTACCGAGATGTACCTGAACCAGATGGATTCTGATTTTGTTGTGTATGGTTTGTATTGCTACTGAAGTTTGGGTAATAATTCCCATTATTCTTGTGAGCGGACTGTTGCTGTTTGTGCTGCTCCTTGCTAGTATTCTTTTCTTCTATCTTGTCTTCGTGCAAGCCTTCTTCTTGAGCTGTTTTTTTAAGTTTTGACAGGTTTGTTATATCTTTTCGAACTAGGGTCATAAAGGTAATATCTGTTAGTTTACGCGATATAACATCTTTAATGTTGTGGGCTGCACTGTTTTCTAATGCTAAATTATTAGTAACTACAAGAACTTTTGTTTCCAAATCTTCTATAAACTTACGAAGACTCCCGTTGAATTTGGTGAAATATATCTGTCTCAAAAGTTCCTCATATGGGGTGTGGTTTTTGAATTCGTCGATTAGAGGGGTTTTTAGCTACAGCCAGGTGTTGAGCTAAACCATTTTTGATAGTCGCTTCTTCGGTTAGCTGCACTTCAATGGCTCCAAATATTACTCGCTTCAGTTTCTTGCGTCGGGTACAGTTCTTGTATGTATTCGATGCGTTTGATGAAGGAACTCAGCTTTCCAGCTGATCCGTCATAGGCTGCACTTGTTGAATTGACAGTAGTGCTTGGTTTAAGTGAATTTCAATTAGGGATACTGGTGGTAATGCCATTTTGATTTATTGATGGTTGTAATTCACTTCACGTGTATTTCACTCAATTGAATTTTTTGTTGGTGATTTATTTGAATCGTTGCGGTTGGTGATTTATTTAAGTCGTTGCGATTTCGGTTACACAGTTTTGGTTTTGCGTAACGTTTAAGTGTTTGTGTTTAGCCTAGTGCTACGTTTCACCTTGGTTCTTTGGCAGATTCACTTGGGCTAACTAGCTTCGCTGATCTCCAGCAATCTAGTCGTTTAGATTGTTCTAATAAATCAGTACCGAAACAATAACGTTAGGGTTGTGAATCCTACCGTCTGCGCCAATAAAAATTCCAGAGTTCAAAAGTAGGTTTTTAAAAAAAGGATGTTTTTATTTAACCGAACTTATATTAGAATATAGGATATGATAGTGAACTCAATGTTAGAAAGTCTCAAACGGAACTGTCTTCTTATTATCGAGCTATTGATCTCGAGACCTCTGTTGGAAAGCTTAAAGCTTATCTCCTTAAGCTTTCGGCTTCGGCTGATATTTCGTCTTCGTATTTGAGTGATGATGGCTTCGGTTAAGAGAGTCGAAGGTTTAGTTGCGAGAGTCGTTGTTTTGGTTTTGATAAGCGATGCGTTGGCCTATGTGTCCGAGGCTCGGGAGATGCGTCGGCTTGGATGAAACAGGCGGCCACAGCTGGCGATTGGTGTCGGCTTTCATCTTGAGAACTCACTTATTTACAGGAGTTCTCCCTTCTATTGGAGTGTGGGAATGATTCTGAATTAATCATATGATGGAATGTGGGAACGAGCTGATAACGGATTGGTCAGCGACGTTCGATTGCATTCCAGAGTTTTGGGTTGCATGAGACTTCATGTTGATTTCGGCTTGGACGACTCATGCTTTGTTTATGCAGGTGTTGGGGTATCTTCACATATGTTTATCTAAGGGTGTAGGGGTGAGTGCTGGGCACCCTTACACCTATGTACTCGTATCTATAAGAAATAGGATAAACATATAAGAAGACACCCCAACACCTGCATAAAAAGACTAATGTGTATAGGTGTGGGTGTTTCGTCATGTCATCGTCTTAGTCAACGTTTTATGCTAAGATTATTTATGAATTGCTTGAAGTCTAGTGTAAGTAGGTTAGGGCAAGGCGGGAGCGCAATAAAAGCTCGCTCTTTCGCTCACGGTGAATTCGCCCCGCTCTGCCACCGTATATTAGCTAGGCTTAGAACGAAATGTATGAATTGTTAGAATATGATCGTAAAATTGGAAATCGATCGAGCGCACACAGAATTTATTATTTTACTATATACTATATTTCTATATATATACAAGTAACACAACCGAACTACACCTATCGCTTTACCTGGGACATTGGGCACATGCTTCGAGCCGATTGACCTAGGTAACCGTCGGTTAAGGTGGGATCGAGACCCACCTAGATAAAGATGGAAAAGCAAACAACTTCATATTTCATGATCATCTTTATAATTCAAATTAATTTTATCAACAAAACATAATTATTGACAGTAATATAATTATTTAGAGCTTTTCCAAACGCTTCGGTGCCATAAAAAAAAATGAGCACAAAGCCAATCGCCACCACCTGAAAGTCGTAAAATTTCATCCGTGGGCACGGATGTTACTTCGTCATCATCAAATTTAAACCAAATATCGTCGTTGGAGCGAACCCAAGCAACATAGTGTCCAGATGAACTTGATCGACCTTTATGTGTCAATACGGCTTGTAATGTATAGTATCCAGAATTATTACTTCCCAAATCATCGTCAAACCAAAATTGCTCATATTTTGTTTCTAAGTCCTCATCCTTGACCCCATATGGTTTGGCTATTTTCAGGTCCATACTTTTGTCTTCCAGCTCCTTAAATTTCGAACGCATTGGACATAATTTTTTTTGCAATTCGGGTGTACACAGCTCAAACGCGTCAAAGTCGATGGGAAATTTTATATCCTTTAATACTTTGGCATTTATTCCTTCCTTTCCCTTATATTGGAATCGTACGAATTGGACAGTAAGATAAGCTGGAAGTCGGCTAACTAAGTACTGCAAATGAAATAAAACTTTAATAAATTTAGGTTATGCATTAAAGGGTCTTACAGTTCTAATGTAGTGTGCGTCTCGTCCCAAAGTTTCAGATTTCTTGACCAATGGTTCCATCATTTTCTAAAAATTAATAAAGGAGCCGTTAATGCAAAGGCGTTCATAAATGTAATTTGTGGTATTAACTACCGATTTAAGGCCGCTTTGCATGTACTTCACTTGCATTGAAATGAAGCAACTTAATTGCAAAAAATTTTCAGTTGTTACAGTAGCAGTTTCATGGGGAACTTCTTCCGTGCTCATTTTAACTTCAAAGGTTCCACCAAAGAATTGTTCAATAAATGAGCTTTAAATAAATAATATAAAATATATTATATATAAGTTTATATACGTATGCGCTAGGTTTTTTGTACACAAGAAAATATAATTTAATAGGCTATATTTTTAATGAATGCTTGTATTGAGAACTTTGTTGGGCGTTGTAAATAGGAAAATTATAGTTAATACAACAAATTTTGTTTATTAAATTAGACGGGACACCATTTATTTTTTGTGATCTTGGGGTAGATACTTTAGTTATATTAATGTTATTTTTTTAAACAATTTTTAGAATTTTCTAACGAATTAAACAAAAATTGTAACGAAGAAAATTTCAAAAATTTTTTTCTTGTTCCATGAATTTGATGTTTAAGTCTATTCCATATAGTAACGTAAATAAATAATATTAGTTCTACCACTACTTTTAATCGACACTACTCTTAATCTCCAACAATCACATCAATACATACCATAATCACATACATACACATTGAATAAGAATAAGATAAGAGAACATGTAAACCTAAATAGGCTTGTGCTAGCTCGGCAGTCTGATTTATTGATGTCATTTTTGGAACTATTAGTTAATTAAATTGGAACAATTCTGCCTCAATCTAACTATATATAGATGTATATCGATACCATTAATATCGTCATTAATCAATTATAATTGACAATATTTATTGGCAATAAACGTGTATAAGGTTTTGCAAACAATCTAACTAAATAAATGGTTAAAAAAACTTTTCGTCTCGAAAGTCTTCTGCTTTGCACAAGTACGCCCACATACTCATTTTTCTGTACGCTCCTAAATTGGGGCGAGTGAGATTTCGCGAATTTCGTCGCTTGCAAAAACATTTCTTGCTTATGGCAATTCAATTGTATGGGTGCTACTCATCTTACTATAATAGTGCTTTTGGGTTGAAATTTTGATCTTTGATATGAAATTAATTTTTTCTATACAACCAAATGACGCTTCATGGTAACACACTCTTGTGTGCACATGTTTTTTTATATTTTTTATTTACTCTAGTGTATATTTATGTATGTACAAACTTAAATAATTTAGGGATATGGCTGGGCGAGCACTTCATGTGTGGTACGGCCGTGAAGCATTGCTTCAAACATGAGGAGGCGTCGCCTAGACTATCCGCTCCCTTCTCTCTTCCCCAACAGCGCGCAGTTCTGACATGATGGTCGCTGCGAAGTTGCTTGTCGCTTCCCAGTGCTTCGGAGACTGAAGCATGAACGGCAGCAGATTCAAAGTAATAATGGCATCACCCTGGGCGACTTCCAGCAGATGCCTTTTTCCGCCAAATCTTTCACACGAGAAGATGACATGTGCGGCGTCTTCCTCCACTCCTTGTCCAATCCATGAGCAGTCCGCAGACTGGTCGTGCCCAAAGTGGTGCAGGTAGCTGCGAAAGCAGCCGTGGCCACTGATGAGCTGGGTCAGGTGGAAGTTGACTTGCCCGTGTTTCCTTGCTAACCACGGCTCGATGGTCGGGATGAGCTGGTGGGTCCACCGTCCCTTGGTGGCCGTATCCCAGCGGTTCTGCCACTTTTCTAGAGTCTGCTGCCTGCATGCCGTGCGCACCAGTTTCTTCGCCGCCTCTGCGATGCCCCTGCCAAGGTTCTCCATGTAGTAGGTGGACCGCTCGTCCGCCAGGTAGTCGGTGGGTGCCACTCCAGAGATGACATGCGCTGCCTCATCGGAGACAGTTCGGAAGACACAGATGATCCGTAGCGAGGAGAGTCGGTGCGTGGCTACCAATCCCCTGGCGTAGCTCGAGGGCATTGACCCAGACTGGCGCCGCATAGAGCATCACCGATCTCGTCACACTCGTCAGCAGGAGTCTACGACAATTCTTTGGTCCACGCGTGTTCAGCATTATCCTTGAGAGGACAGCATAGCTGGACGCCGCCTTCGCGCTGTAGGCCAGGTGTTCTCAGAAGCAGAGCCGTGTGTCAATAATGACGCTCAGGTAATTCACCGCTCTCTTGGACGTTACTGTGGATGGATGGACACCAACACTACTTCGGTCTTGTGAGCGCAAACTCCAGTCCCACTTGCTCCATCCACTGCTGAATGTGCGCGATCGCATGGTTGCAGGTCGACTCTACCACCGACAAACTCTTTCGCAACCACCACAACCAATTGCAATTCGAGGGGGAGGCTCAGTCGCAAGATGCCGTCGTACATCGCGTTCCAGAGTAGGGGGCCCAGCACTGAACCCTGCGGAACGCCACCTGTCACAGCGTGCTGCTCCGTGCCGATCTGCGTGTCATACAGAAGCAGCATCCTCTTAAAGTAGCTGCGTACAATCCTTAAGAGGTAGCTTGGCGTATTGAAGCCCTCCAGGGCCCTCAGGATGCAGTTCCACCTGGCTGTGTTGAAGGCATTCCTGATGTCTAGCGTGACTCACAGGCAGTACTCCTTGCCACCTCCCTTCCATCGAGTGCCGGCAATTGCAGAGGAGGAAATGTCCACCACTCGATTGATGGCGTCAATAGTCGATTTGGCCTTGGGAAAGGTCTCCCGCCACCGTAATGGATTGGTCCAAACGGGAGCAAATCACCTTCTCGAGCAGTTTTCCTGCCCCTAGTGCTTTGCCTGGTTTGGGAATAAGCACGAGCTTCTGCTTCTTCCACCTCTCCGGAAAAATTCCCTCTCGGACCCACTGGTTTAGGAGCACGACATTTGGTATAGTGCCTAATGCTCCTGGCTGCGATTTTCACATCATCGAGAGTCATTTCTTCAAAGGGAGCCTGGTAAGGAGTTTCCCGTAAGCTAAGGGTCACCTCGATGTGGTCCGCCATGTGCGGGAAGAGCTCCTGCACAATGGATCCGACCAGGTCGGGCTCTGATGGGGGTGTCTGCTTCTTGTTGTTCCCCACGGTTCGTGCTCGGCAGAGTCCCAGAGGGCCAGGAAGCATTCGCGTTTGCACCTCTTAATGGCGGCCTTGAACGCGCGTCCCTCGTTCTGTATGGCTCGCTAATGACTGCGAGGTCTATTACCATTTCCCGCACGGTTTGGCTCAGCAGGTCTTGAGCCGCAGCGCAGTGATTAAGATAAAGCTGCAGTAGCTTCATCATTTCATTTACATTACATTCCATTACATAACAGTTATACATGTAAACATTTACCTAGATATATAAGAGAAGAACAACATGAAGAATAATGTAATTAAACATAAGCAAAAAACAGACATCACGACTTTTAAATCCACGCGCCAATAAGGTGACCAGCGATCCTAACAAACGGCCACACTCCAAGATTTAAACCCACGCGCCAACAATGTGACCAGCGATCCTAACAAACGGCCACACTCCAACATTCGAATCCACGCGCCAACAGTGTGCCCAGCCTTCAGAACCAAACGGCCACACTAGCAGCTGATCGTGGCAACGCATTAGTGCCAAAGAAGGGAGCCAACAGCTGACTTTTGGCAATAAAAGCTGCCACGCCATAGCCATCAGCACCATTCCTTTCTTGGACTGCCAAGGGTTGATTCGCTCCCCAAGGCTTTTGGTAAGCATTGACTGCTGTGGTTATTAGAGCGCACGATTCCTATAGAACACAACTATCCCTGCTATATACCGTCCATTCGGAATGCATTGATCTTTGCTGTTTTATCTTCCTATTTATATTCGGACTGCATTTTCCTCCGTTTTCCTTTCCCACTCGGAGCGCATCTTCCTCCGTCTTCCTTTCCTACTCGGAGCAACGCCTATAGGCATATGCACTTGCTGCGAGGCGATTAACCTAGGTAACCGTCAGCTAGCGGTCAATCAACCGCAAATATTTACTTCTTTCCCTGGGCTAGTACGGTGGATACGACCTTTCTCCCAACTTCTCCATTATTGGATCCGAGACATATTCTTCAGGACAAACAACAGAGCGCACAAGCAGACCGTTGGAAAAAATACATCCCCAAATAAATGCAGTGTGCAGTGTGATTGAAAAGCAAACGACTTCATATCTCGTGATCATCTTTATAATTCCAATTAATTTTATCAACAACACATAATTATTGACAGTAATATAATTATTTAGAGCTTTTCCAAACGCTTCGGTCCATATAATAAGACGTAGGCACAATGCCAATCGCCACCACCTGAAAGTCGTAAAATTTCATCCGTGGGCACGGATGTTACTTCGTCATCATCAAATTTAAACCAAATATCGTCGTTGGAGCGAACCCAAGCAACATAGTGTCCAGATGAACTTGATCGACCTTTATGTGTCAATACGGCTTGTAATGTATAGTATCCAGAATTATTACTTCCCAAATCATCGTCAAACCAAAATTGCTCATATTTTGTTTCTAAGTCCTCATCCTTGACCCCATATGGTTTGGCTATTTTCAGGTCCATACTTTTGTCTTCCAGCTCCTTAAATTTCGAACGCATTGGACATAATTTTTTTTGCAATTCGGGTGTACACAGCTCAAACGCGTCAAAGTCGATGGGAAATTTTATATCCTTTAATACTTTGGCATTTATTCCTTCCTTTCCCTTATATTGGAATCGTACGAATTGGACAGTAAGATACGCTGGAAGTCGGCTAACTAAGTACTGCAAATGAAATAAAACTTTAATAAATTTAGGTTATGCATTAAAGGGTCTTACAGTTCTAATGTAGTGTGCGTCTCGTCCCAAAGTTTCAGATTTCTTGACCAATGGTTCCATCATTTTCTAAAAATTAATAAAGGAGCCGTTAATGCAAAAGCGTTCATAAATGTAATTTGTGGTATTAACTACCGATTTAAGGCCGCTTTGCATGTACTTCACTTCCATTGAAATGAAGCAACTTAATTGCAAAAAATTTTCAGTTGTTACAGTAGCAGTTTCATGGGGAACTTCTTCCGTGCTCATTTTAACTTCAAAGGTTCCACCAAAGAATTGTTCAATAAATGAGCTTTAAATAAATAATATAAAATATATTATATATAAGTTTATATACGTATGCGCTAGGTTTTTTGTACTCAAGAAAATATAATTTAATCGGCTAGATTTTTAATGAATGCTTGCATTGAGAACTTTGTTGGGCGTTGTAAGTAGGAAAATTATAGTTAATACAACAAATTTTGTTTATTAAATTAGACGGGACACCATTTATTTTTTGTGATCTTGGGGTAGATACTTTAGTTATATTAATGTTTTTTTTTAAAACAATTTTTAGAATTTTTTAACGAATTAAACAAAAATTGTAACGAAGAAAATTTCAAAATTTTTTTTTTGTTCCATGAATTTGATGTTTAAGTCTATTCCATATAGTAACGTAAATAAATAATATTAGTTCTACCACTACTTTTAATCGACACTACTCTTAATCTCCAACAATCACATCAATACATACCATAATCACATACATACACATTGAATAAGAATAAGATAAGAGAACATGTAAACCTAAATAGGCTTGTGCTAGCTCGGCAGTCTGATTTATTGATGTCATTTTTGGAACTATTAGTTAATTAAATTGGAACAATTCTGCCTCAATCTAACTATATATATATATATGTATATCAATATCATTAATATCGTCATTAATCAATTATAATTGACAATATTTATTGGCAATAAACGTGTACAAGTTTTTGCAAACAAGTTAACTAAATAAATGGTTAAAAAAAACTTTTCGTCTCGAAAGTCTTCTGTATGCACAAGTAAGCACACATACTCATTTTTCTGTACGCTCCTAAATTGGGGCGAGCGAGATTTCGCGAATTTCGTCGCTTGCAAAAACATTGCTTGCTTATGGCAATTCAAATGTATGGGTGCTACTCATCTTACTATAATAGTGCTCTTGGGTTGAAATTTTGATCTTTGATTTGAAGATGCTGCATGAGGAACAAAGGCCTATTCAATTTTCGTTTGACGCTTCATAGTAACACACTCTTGTGTGCGCATGTGCATGTGCCTATCTGCTGCGCTGTCTCGTGCTGTGCTGAGGCTCTTCGCTGACGAACAGACGAGACCGTCCAGCAGCGGGTTCGCGGTCAGAGACGAGGCATAGCTGAAAAGATAATTGAAACCCCGCGCGCTTCCTCTGTAGCGAAAAACCTTAATTGTTTCCGTCACAGATTTTCGTCCTTTGTACGGTCGAAAGGGGGCGGGGCGAAATTTTGAAATACACTTGTAACAGTGTGATATCGCATGAGTCTGGAAATTTGGTTTCTCTAGCTCATATAGTCTCTGAGATCTAGGCGCTGAATAAGATGGACGGACAGACAGACATGGCTATATCGACTCGGCTATTGATGCAGATCAGACCACATTTCTTGGCTCATAAGATTTTACTAACAGGTAAACTTTTTTGATTAAGATCACTTATTGCATTTGTGATAGTGATTTTGCAAAAAAATGCCTGCCAGTTTTTCATACTTTTGATATAAATGTGACAACTTAACAAAGCGGAAAAACTCCAGCATTCCCACTTCCCGCAATTCCCAAATTTTTTCCGCAGTTGGTCTTCAAAATCAGACTGATTTGACGGGATAAAAGCTGGAATCGACAGCACTGATAGCTAGAGATATGAGTTCTTCGAAGTTACCGTTTAAATTTAATCAAACATATAATTACCATATACTCTAAGATTACGATTCTATTATATTCAATATACGTACCTATGTTTTGATTTCTGAGCATTATTTTTAGATTGTTCTTGGTGAACTGGTAAAAGTTTTTGTTGCAGCATTTTAAGAATTTCCGACCAACACTCATTAGCATCTTGCTGCCTGTATGTGCCATTTTCTCCTGTCTGTGCAAATTGAGGGGATGCTCGGTGTAGTGCCTGCAACAATACAATTGGAGTGACAGTTGCACCCTTATCCATCTGAGCAAAAACAGATTTCATTCCCGATGAAATAGAAAAAGCTGCTGATAGGGTTTCAGACCCCTCACTAGTAAAATTGTTTAGCGCATTACGAAGCTCAGGAACTGCTTTCAAGCATTGAATAGTAGCATTCATATAGCATGTATTTCCAAGGTTTGTTAAACCGGCTGGGAGGCGCATCTAAAATTTAATTTTATATACAAAGCTGGAAAGATATATAATGATATAAAATATACGCACTGCTGTCGCGGTTTCTGCATCATTCATGTCTTCAATGAACTTAATTGGTGTTGTGGGTACTTCTGGTACATCTTCTTTGCTTCCCAGTAATAACACTACAGCTCCCTGCAAAAAAAAAAATTATATTTTCTAAGAATCATACTTGAAATATTAACTTACATCTTTTAACTGCAAGTTCCATTGATCATCCTTAAGTATGCCACCTTTGCACATAACTTTTTGACGGTCTGGTTCAACACCAGTAAGAGCGAACAGTTGAGCTTTGAACAATATAGGATCTTCATCGGTGTTAACATCGATATCCGTAAAAAGTTCTCGTCCCCATTTTACTTTTACTGAAAATAAACTAATTCAGTTGTACGTCAGAAAAAATCAAATAAGTACCTTTAAAAGATGGCATTGTAAACTCCTAGCTAAAATTCAAAGTCATACTAATTCAGACAAGGGATGAGTGAAACAACGATATATCTAAAAAGGGAAATGGGTGTGTAAATAAAAAACATCGTCAGCTTGGGAACACTGATAATGGTAGTACTCCTCTACACTTCACGACAAGTATTGGTCGCAACCTTATATTCATATACACGCACTACTGATTAAGATAAGCCCTATGCTGTTGACACTAGGGTTACGTTTTTTCGAAAACGCAGCTTTTTAACATAGGTGTAAAAAGTAGCAAAAAGTATCGATCTTTTCGAACATAGATGCGTTTAGTCGAGGTATTCGATTATGTTTGCGCTTTATTAAAATCAGAGGTCGGATCGCAGAAGCACATGTTTTGGTGCATTGGTTGGCGCAGGCAACAGTCACAAAGCCACGAAGGCATAAATGTTTATTGCCATGCATTGAACAAAAAAATTCGCATAGAGCTAAATGTTTTGCGCCAAACAAAAAACAAAATATTCAGAGTAAACATTAGCATACCATTAAACAACCAAAAAGCATTGCGTCCGCCATCCATAATTTCAAAAGAAGACAAAAATCCTTCTAATGGGATGTTCCGACAGTAGTTTTATCAGCGCAAAATCAAATTTAAACTCATCTGATTACATTTTTCTGCCGCTTTGGCAGACGAGCAGAAAAATGAAGCCGTTTATGCGTAGCCCGCAGCCACGCGAATTTTTTACACTGTTCGTGTGTCGACTGCGCTGCCCTCAGATATTTTACTATGCAGTGTGCATAGCCCACTATCGGCTACTGATCAAAATAGACAATTTTGGCGCGTCAGATATAAGCATGAAATTAAAGTATTATTAAAAAATACTTTAAAATAATTGTAAAATAGATAATAGCCAATTCCCATAAGCGACCATCACCCATGCACCATCCATTTCAGTGGAGGCCGTTCCGAAAATTACCCAAATATTCCACCATCAATCTGTGATGATAATACTCCGCAAGTTTCTATTGGCCTTATGAAATTAGACTTAGCTTACTGACTATCTGAAAAAATAGAGATGGCATTATATTAATGCGTCCAGTTGGCTTTTCAGTTGAGCTGGGAGCAGCGCTGCAGCAGAACTTATCGGTTGTTGTAGGCATTTATCGGTTGTTTCAGAAACAATTTGTGGCTGTGTGTGCTGTAATGAATAATTTTGTGTCAAGTCAATTGTTTGATTTTCAAATTCGTGTCTAGAGACGGATACGAACACCTATTTTGCATTTTGTATTTCTGCTATCATCTGTCTATCATCTATATATCTGCTATTCACAGCGATGTTAGCAAATATGTTAATGTGTCTAGTGTGATAACACTATATGCGATATTGGAGTATAATAACTGCGATAGATCCGAGTATTGGAGTTAATAGAGTAATAACCTATTCCCACAGGCGACCATCTTTCATCTATTTCGGGGATGGTCCTTAGTAGCCATTCCACCATCGATATCGGGGATGGTCCGTAAGGTTTGCCGTTCCGAAAATTTTCCAGTTATTCTACCATCAATGTCAGAATTGTCTCAGGCACAAAAAATCGGTTTGTTGACTCTCATTCGGAAATCTTTTATGAATACTCTGCAAACCTCAAGCAGAATATTGCACACGCTTTTGGCTGACAGACTTCCGACTATTCTGTACTCAGAAAAAGAGCCCAAAGTTAAGGGCTATAAAAAACTTTACTCCTCGTATTTTTCGAGTACATCTCTCTCCTAAAATGGCCCAAACCGCTTCACAAAAAGCATAGAGTATATTTGTATTTTAAACATTGATAGGATTTAGTAGAAGCAGTCACAAATGTTTTTCAAAACAGATATCCATTCCAATAAATTTTCCTCGTCAATGTTGGCCACACTATCATCATCCATGCCTGGCAACATGATTGTGCAAGAATATATTTGGTGGTAAACGATAACGATTGCAATATTATTAATATTCATTTAAGTTATAAAAGTAAATAAATTTTCCGCCGCACCAAAATGTGTGTATCAGCTGTTTTTCATGGATGATGGATGGTTGATGCTGGATTGTGCCAGTGGGAAACGGAGTTTCACATCTGTTAAAAATTCCCACCGTTCCAGATAGATGTGCTGTGTGGGGAAAAGGATATAAGTGTATTGTATTATGTATGTGTACACATAGTCAAATAAATACATAAATATATGTATATGTTAAAATAAAACGGCATTGAAATAAAACATTTTCACACTGCGTGGGGTGCAGAGATGGAAAATCATTTGGACACTAACCTAACGACATATTGGACATAGTTTTATCAAAGCAAATAAAATTGCCAAATTTTTTAATATCAACTTATTAAAATTTCACAATTCGAAAACACTTGTGGGAAAATAAAGGAAACATTTTACCTGAATAGATAACGAAAAAAGTAACTGTCAACAACATTTCATACCAAAGGAACGCGATCAGGTACCAAATGTACAACCCGTTTTCGTTTGCTTTGTTCCCAATTGGCAGTTGGGCTCGCAACCTTCCAAATGGTATTTTTTGTTAAATTTTTTCATTTTTTAGGTTTGTTTAACGAATTTTAGCTCCAAAGTCTTTCCAAAGATTTTAATGAGCGATACCTTAAACAACGCCAAATTAATGCGCCTATACTCAAAAAAATAGAGGACACAGGATATACTTTTTTTCGACTTTTCCTGAGTTTTTAAAGTCAAAATTTCGTAAAAACTACCGCACTAAAATCATCATTTTAGCATTTCAATGCTTTATATTTCCCAGACGGAAAGCTGAAATCACAAAGTGTTTAAACTTAACTTCTAACTGTTTTAATTAACTTTTTAAAATAGCAAAGTTCTTTACAACCAGACGTAAGATACTAGAGAAAAAAGCTTAAAAAAAATACCAGACTATAATACCATAATTCTTTAAAAAATTTTAAAGCCGCATATCTATCGGATAATGTCGGTTTGGATCCTTGAGGAAAATAAAGTTCGATTTTGTCGGGTAGTGGAATCAGAATATGCCCACCATAATTCTTGCTATTAGTCAGGACAGTGCTCCATCTCCATCCTCATCTTCCCGTCAGCAAACAATGATCAACAATGATCCAAACAACCTATTCTCATTAAAGCTACTCTGATCCGCCGTATCCATACAGTTTACCAAGGTCGAACGGCATTTTCAGCCCCTTCTTAAATGAAACCTCACTGCTTCATGATCTTCGACTAGTTAAGCCGGTGTTTTCACCAAGTCCTGACGGAGTTCCCGGCTGTGTACTCACGTACTAACGCTTTGTGTGGACCCCTGCTTAAACTATTCACCCTATCCATTAGCTCTTCATGCTTCCCCCCAATCTGGAAGAATTCTTTTATTATTCCGCTCCATAAGAAAGGTAGCAATTCTGAAGCAAATAATTATAGAGGTATGTCTTAGTTATCCGCTATTCCTAAAATGTTTGAAAAAATTTTAACCCCGCATTTGCAAAATCTCTGCAAATCACTTATATCTCCGTCCCAGCACGGATTTATAAGGCGACGATCAACAACTAAAAATTTATTAGAGTTTACTTATTTTATCATTAAAGGCTTTCAAGTTAACTTGCAGACTGATGTCATTTCCAGTGATTTCAGCAAAGCATTCGATTCTGTAAACCATTCCCTCCTAGCACAAAAACTTGACCTTTTAGGGTTTCCGCCTATTCTTTTGAGATGGATTTCTAGCTACCGTCGTTCTAGGTCTCAAAGAGTCACCTTCAAAAACTCCTTCTCTTCACCTGTTAAGGTTCCTTCTGGAGTACCACAGGGCAGCCATCTAGGCCCCCTACTATTCACACTCTTTATTAATGATCTGCCTTCAGTATTAACAAACTCTCGAGTACTCATGTATGCGGATGATGTTAAACTTTGTGTCCAGTATAAGGATATTGCAATCCGATCTCAATAACTTTCAGTCATGGTGTTGTGCAAATATGTTACACCTAAATGCCTCGAAATGCAAAGTAATTAAATTTCATCGCTCCAGCCCCTTTTTGACTCCTTATAGCCTCTGCGGTAATTCTCTTCAGAGAATTACCTTGGTTGATGATCTTGGTGTTAAACAAGACCCCAAGTTAAAGTTTTCTGAGCACATTTCTACCATGGTAAATAAGGCATTCGGTGTGCTCGGGTTTATAAAAAGGTGGTCAAAGGAATTTGACGACCGCTATGTATCGAAGACTCTCTATATCTCGCTTGTTTGTCCGATTTTGGAGTACGGATCTTGTGTATGGTGCCCCGTGTACAAAGTACACCAGGGCCGTATAGAATCATTTCAGAAAAACTTTTTACTCTGCGTGGCCTTAACTGAAATGCTGGTGTGAGACTGCCATACAACCCTCTTATATTTCTTTTAATAAACCTTCCAACCTTAGTTAGTCGTAGAAAAATGCTTGGGATGATTTTTATGCACAATCTGATCAAGGGTGACGTAGATAGCCATGACTTGTTGAGCCACATAAACTTTACGATTCCTATTAGATCTACTAGAAACTATATTCCTTTTTTTCCTTCCACTTTGTAGATAAAATTATTCCTTGCACGAACCATTTAGGTTCCTATGATCGGATAGCCCTGACTTGTTGAGCCACATAAACTTTTCGATTCCTATTAGATCTACTAGAAACTTTATTCCTTTGTTCCTTCCACTGTGAAGATAAAATTATTTATTCCTTGCACGAACCATTCAGGGTCCTAGGATCGGACTTCAATTTCTTCTACCAATCCACCACTAATTCTCATTGAGTTGTGTTTAGCTCTAATTTTCCTCGAATTTAAGTCTAACATCTATCTTTCCTGCATGCTCGCGATCGGTTCGGTAGCACGCGTCGCGCGTCATGCGGCAGCTCCCTTCGGTCGGTTGGTCGGGAGGAGGGGCTCCCTTTCTGCCTGGGTTCCGCGCGTAACAGGCTTCGGCTTGGTGTCGCATGGGACAATTGATGGTGCTGTGATTTCATATCAACGTGCAGACAACGTCCAAACTAGCCTTTGCAGGTTGCTTAGTGTTCGGAGCAGCCGCTGGCAACAAGCTCTTTGTGCTAGCTGG